GCACGATATAAATGAGGTATAGCAAGGCTAAAATCATAGCCACTTGTGGAGATTATATGAAATATATAAATTCATTATTTCCATGTTCCCCAACAAGTTCTTGGCCTACCTTCGTGCGCCCACAACAGCCACGCCACCAGAGAAGGATGGCTACAACTAGCACCAGCAAAAGCAGAATAACAGCACCAAGAGCCCCTCCTAAAGCAGCTGTATTCGTTGAGGTTGGTGTATCAGTTGTTACCAACTCGATCACTGTCTCAGTCACCAGGGGCGTAGTTATCATAACCTCTGTTCCCACAATAGGCATAGTTATTACAGCCTGCAATGGAGGCGAAGTTACAGTGGCACCATCAATACTGGACTGTACCACGGCGGAAATCTGGTAGATGGCTCCCGGTGTCAGCGGTTGATCGCGGTAGATGCCGCTCTCGTTACTGTCCGCCTGGTTAGGCAGAGACATGATGCCATCACCTAGAACCACTGTCTTGTTTTTGACTTGCGAAAAGGTGAAATCAGCATAAAAAGCGATCCAGCTGTTGGCAGGCATTCCAAGTTGGGCTAACGTCGCTAAGGGTGTAAAAAATAGGAAAATGGATTTGCTCGAGCAAGCTAAGTAAAAACACGAGGGATAATTTACACATTCGAGGTCTAATCGCTGAGCTATCGAATATCAAATGGGGCATTATGAATATTAACTAAGATTGTGTTTTGGAAACGGGAGAAAGTGAAATTTAAAGAAAAGATTGAGCTATCTTATCATTGAATTATGAGAAAAGTAAATAATAGTCATTGAAGCTCTATTAGCTGATAGCGAACTATCGGACTAATACAAAGTTTATTGATAGTCTTTGAATATAATCTAAGCCTTCTATCGAATATCCAACACAGGATTAATTTAAACGGTTAAGGAGCATTTAAATCTGACATCAAAGGCGAGAGGCATCTCCTTTCCCTAAAGTTTATTGTATAGAATACTTAAAGGATGAGCAAAACAACCGTATAAAGCAATTCTACTGGCTGGCCAATCTGTGGGATAGATAATATTGATTAGTCATAAGCATAAGTATAAGCACCATCGCTAAACAATGAAGTTAGCGATCAGCTTACAAGCGAAACTTTCCTTTTTATCGTTTTTAAAGTGAATCAGATAAAAGAGCATAACTTGATATGAAATGAGTTTTTGTATTAGCAGCTTCTAAAAACAAGAGTATCTTAAATAGAATGAAACAATTAAAATCTCACAGACCAGAAATAAATTAGAGTAATTAAAAAATAATTGGCATTGCTAAGTTATTACAGAAAGAAACCGAAGTAAACCTTAAATTTTGAAGATATAAAGACTAAGATGGTGTGGCATCTAATATGGTCGTAGTCTCCTTACAATTTATAGAAGTGGATTTACTTAGTTGTCGCAACTTGGTCTTGTTGTCTGGGAGACTTAGTAAAACGCACCTAGCCCGAAGTCCTCTGCCATAGTAGTTATCATAAGTCTCAGCAACAGACAGTGGGCTTGGTACATTCTCAAACGTTTCGCCGGCATCGTAATCGGCATCATCAATGAGTGTTGCCATTCTCCACACCAAGCTACAAACTCGTCAAAGAGACAATTGAAGTCAATCCCTCGACCAACATTCTGCCGAAAACGGTTACAATATCAATTCTCCTTCTGTCCAGGCCCATCTATGTACTCTTTACCCTCTTATAAAACTCCCGCCCCATCACAACTATTCACTTGTTTACATTCCACTCGTCAAAATGTGTGCCCTTTTGTGGCAAATGTAGTGCGGCCTCATTACACCTGTTAATCACCCTAACATGCTCTCCTTTAATCGGCTAATACGACTCGG